TACGTGTTTCGACAATAAATCGTTAGACCGATGATGCGCGGCGCACTACCGAGGTGTATACCCAATTGTACAGGTGTCATGTAATTTGATAATCGGGTAATACTTAAGGTTAACAATCTATCACATACCATGATTACATGCGATAGACATTAAAAAATTAAACGTTAATTTCACGACTAGTGTAAAACATATTTTAATAAATTAAATTTAATTGTTCATATATATAGAAATATTAGTGCCGAAATTATACACATTAAAATTATATAAAATTTATAAGATAAATACAAACAAATCAGACAGCAAACGTTTCATCTCTTGATTTCTTTTCAGTGCAGTGAGAAACGAGCAGAAATTAGACATAGGAATAAAAAGTTCTGCAACGATTCCGCTTCCCACAGTCAATAGATGAAAATTCTAATAGTCAATTTGTAAATTTCAAGGATTCAAATGAGGAAACTCGTGTGAAATTAGCCCCCCAACTTTTGAAAAAATTAACTTTCTATAGTTTATTCGATTGCTCATCGTTTACACATGTATGCATGTATATGTATATTTTAAATTTTCGTTTGCATATTTCTGGTAAAAAAGTTATTAAAAAAAAAAACAATTTTGGGAAACTAATTTCACACTAGCTCCCCCCAATCACGAGCAAATTAGATTTAATTAGTCTCAATCGATAGATTTTCGTTTGTACATTCCGAAACAAATCAATTTTTTGTTTGTATTCTTCAGTTAAAAAGTTATTAATAATTAAAGTTTCGAGGACAGTCTTTTCAGATAGACAGGTTTAAATATAGTAATTTTTTAACTAAGGTTATGCAAACAAAGAACCGACTTATTAGAGCATTTTTTATTAACTCCAGAATCATAAACTATCGTAAATTTGACATGCATCAAGTTAGTTTATAATTCTAGAGTTAAGTAAATCAATATTTGCATTGTAATCTACAGAAAATGATATATGCATATGCATATATATATATATATATTTCTAAAGATAAACAAAATTTTATACCATGTTGTACAAATTTAGGTTACAGTGGTTATAAAGGCCAAGTTACTATCAAGTTAGACATGGCACTAAAATCCATATTTAGATATGCAGTCTGTACTGTGTTTTCGTTTAGAGACTGTCGTATACGCTATCTTGCTTGCAACGAAAATAAACAAGTCTCCTATCAACACTAGTCTAGTCTTTCAAGGGAGTTCCCAGGGGACTATTCGAGAAACTTTGTTCCCAACCAACAACGCTTCCAAGGTGCATCACCGAGGGATAAGAGTGCTAGGAACGGCTGGAGAGAGGAATGAGAAACAATAATATTACTTGACAAAGAACAAGAAAAATTACGAGGTAAAGAAAAGGTTCTGCACGTCATGGGACCGCAAACGCGCTTCAATTCACAGAGATAATATTTACTCCCCACCATCGAGATAATGCAACGGCAAAATCGATATTTGTGCAAATTAACTTACTGTTAAAAAAACGTAAATTTTGAAGAGGGCGCGAAAGTACAAAAGTTTATATAACGTCTCGGGGCACTTTTCGTCGTAAGAAAGTGGAGAGATGACCCAGTTAAATTACAAAAGAAAATTTTCGGTAAAGTTTGAACGTCATATGTGCGCATCTTTACATTCTCTGAAAGTCCTATAAATTCAAAAGCTTTACTTCGAATTCAACTTCGCTCGCTTTCAACTTCGGTTCAAGAGAACAGAAAGCGAGATTATATCAACCAGGTTATAAGCACGTTTGTAATCAATGCACAGTTAGAATGTCAAAATCCTTTTGGGACTTTACGGAGAAGTTTCGTGCTTCATGGCTTCTCGATAGCTTCGGAATACGCCTCTTAGGACGAAAAGTATAAAGAAACCACGCTCGACACGGTAGATGGAAAACAGAAAGATACACAGCGAACGTGTGAGATATACATATATGTAACATGTATACGGCCGCATTTGTGCACAAACACCGATTTCATACGTGATGGATGTTTGAATTCCTCTACAGAAAACAAGTTTCGACAACAGATCGCTTGTATCACGTCATGTATAATTTCAAGTTTAGAAAGCGTACCTTGATCTTGGATATACATTTTTCAAACCATTCTACGTATTATGTTATGTATAATACGATGATCTGAAAGCGATAGCTCTTATGCAACAATTATATAATATATTAGAATAGTTATATCATATACGTATAATTATTATTTTTAATATATTATTTTTAATATTTCTAATATTTCTAATATTACTTTTAAGTACAATTGTTATTATTTTTCTTAAAACAGATTAATCTTAAAACTTTGGCTTTTCGTTTAAATAAGAAATAAAAATTAAAACAAAATCGTAAAAATTATAAGATAGGCATTTAATGATAATGGCACAAAAATGCATTTCTATTATTGATAATATCAATTCTCAAATAACATATTATTTAAAAAATATTATACTTAGTCTTTTGTTTCGTTTTTTTATACCGTGTAATCTATATTGTACAATAACACCTATTCGTACAACCATGAAAATATTATTCGATATTTTTTCAGTCGAATAATCTGTGGAGATACTGTGGAGATGCTGTGTGAGATACATTTAAAGTTGATCTTTTAATGGTAATTTCTTAAGAAATGCATTTTATTCTTGAAGCAGAACATTTTAATGAATAAATCTTGAATTAAATTCCTGTTAAGATAAAATTCAGTTAAAATGAGAAACTATATAAAAGAGATTTTTTTCCCTTAACTTATCTTTTACAAACATTTTATTAGAAAAATTTAAATTCTTGAAACTGTATTAGCTCAAATACTATTCTACTTTATTATTAAAATAGTGTAAAGTAAATCAGTGTATTTTTATTTAAACACGATAAATTTGAGACAATATTTTTGAAATCTAGAGAAAGATTATACATTCAATTATGAAAGATAGCGTATTACATTTCTGTTGCATAAAATTTTTTTAAATAAACTATTTTTCTCTTGATTTTAATAAATCAAGATTTCTTATTGTTAGTATGTGACAAATCTTTCTACAATGATAAGTACATTCGACAAATTCGATTCGCGACAATACTTATTCTTTATTTCTGTTCAGTCTTCACTTGTTAGAAGATCAAAGGAAGTATTCGAGTATTTATTCTCAGGCAATCTTCGCTTTGCAAAAGTAATAAATTAATATTATGAAAACCGACAGATAGTAAATCTGTTATAAATCTTCAATTCTGTTATAATGAGGGAGTACCAATGATGAACAAATCTTCAAGCAATAATGGTTTTCTCAATCCCGAGAAGTCTTCGGGGGGAAAAACTTTTTTCTATCTGCAAACCTCATTAGAGAAAATGAAAGAAAATGCCGATTATTAAATATTTAATTTACTATTTCTAACGATTGATGGTTGAACATGTACATAAATAAAAATTATTAATTTATATTAAAACTACGCATTATTGTTACATTTATATTGATTATATTTTCTTTTAATATTTCATGTTCATATTTCCCTTTAATCTGACTTTTTAAAAAATGAAAAAAACCTTCACATATGTCAAGAGATGAAAAAATAAAGCGAATGGTTTTAACAAACAAGTTTTAACGAATTCATTGGCAAAAGTAAAACAATATTAACAGATTTTATATTAACTACACTAATTAAGCACGAGGTAGATATTAATATGCGAATACTTTTGTTTGCAGTGCGCATTGTGGAAGATGTCCGCGACAAACAAAAGAAAATCAGACACATGATGTTTAACGTGAGTTTAATTAAAATACGAATAAACGATCTATGATCTTTCTACATAGAAGCATGTGCACACACGTTTCGATTAAATTTGCATGCAAATATCCTACTGCCTTAACGAAGTGAATTCAGCACATTGGATTTTTCCTTCGTGCCTATACGCGAGCATCAGCAATTCTCGAGATTATCTGTGTTCCGATAAAAAAAACACTTATGCATATGATAGCTCTCAGCGGTATAATCTGCATAAATCGTGTAGGCATATCGCATAACTACTTTTGATCATAAAAATCTAATTTAAAAAAATATTTCTAGAGAGAGAGAGAGAGAGAGAGAGAGAGAGAGAGAAGTAGCAGATTTGGTTAATTAAAAACGATATTGGAAATTAAAGTTTAATCGTCGTCGGATAATAATCGTAAATAAATGACAAAATATTATTTTCACCTCATTTTCCGTGTATTTTATCTCAATATAGAATTTTCATTTTATGCATAGTTTTTGAACTATTTCATGCGAAAAATTGAATTCTGGAAAATAATATCCGATCCAATTTTTGCCAAAGAAAAATTTAACTTTGCCGAGGAATTTGCCAAGTAAACAAGAGGGGTTGTATACAACAAGACGTCAAATATCCGAGCAAACTGCAGTAATATACTCGTTATTGATTATTTACACACAAAATTCTCAAAAATGGAACAAAAACGCGAAATATTAAGAGAGATCTAAAAAAAAATATAAATAATATTTATAAATATAATAAAACAAAGCGTAGCTTTAATAAAAAAATTAGAATTTTTTTTATTCATATTGTTTGACCATCGCAATCGTCAAAGATAATTAATCTTTGAATAAGTAATGTCCGAATATATATATAACATATATATAAAATCAGTATTTTATTATATAAATAGAATTAATAGAATACTAAAATAAAGTTTATCCTAAAAGCGAAACTGCATTCGACTTGCAACTGTTGTGCATACCAGAAATTTAGATTTTATCAGTAAAATTCGTTTTACAAAACACCATTTTTTGCTTGTGTTGAAAGACATTTGTCAATTTCCAATTTATCGTGAACTCAGCGCAACACGTAAATCGTCGGTCTTACGTGCACCACTCTAACGATTTGCATGCTCCTACTTCGGACAGTTTACCGCAACAAATTTGATGCACGTAAAGCAACGGTTTTACGTGCCGCATATCCAAGAAAAACAAAAAGGAGAAAAGAGATGAAAAGCGATCTGTGTTTTCTCGTACTCACCCGCGCCAACGCCACTGCCGGGAAGCTCTCCCACGCGAGTTGCGTCTCTTCACCTGGGTTCCCGTGACGCTGACCTGCGAGAATCCTCGCCGCTGTGAGGGTACTCATCCCCATGCCGTCGCCGACGAAGAGGACGACACCGCGTGCCATCCCAGTCGGCGGCGTCGTGCCGCTGACGCTGGTACTCGCTGCCTCCCTGATCCGCGTCTCGATCGCCCGCGTTGCCGTTTCATACCAGGCCTCCCTCTCTGCAAACAAATAGGCTCGATATATATCACGCGCGAGCGATGTAATCGGATCGGTACAATTGCAAAATGAAACATCGCCGTAGGTCATACGTAACGGGATTCGGGTTTCAGAAAAGGCAGGTCAACAATTTGTATGCGCAAAATCGTTCTATTCGCTCGCTACGTACACTGAAATTATATTCGAGATGATATTGCCTGGTTTTCCTTTTCTCTTTTTCTCTGTCTCTTTTTTTTTATTTATCATATTTTGTATTTTATTTTTTTATTTTATATTATTTTATTTTTTTAAATTCATTGCATTTTTTTGTAAATAATTTTCTTTAATTTTTGTAAATTTTTTCTGTTCTCTTTATTATTTGCTTTAATTTGTTTATTCTTAGAGGGCAGCTCTAGAATAATAATAAACCCTCTATATCTATTTATCTATTTCTCTCTTTCTTTTTTGTTAAACTATATATATATCTCTTTAATCCTCTAATACAATTGTTTTTATCATACAGAAGCATGATAATGTTGATTTTTCATTTAAAACAAATTTGGCTTTTTTCGCGAAATAGTCTACGTGTTATAATTGTTTATTAAAAACATATATCTATAATTAAATATGTATAATTATATTGAAATCACGTATAATACAATTCGACTGTAATCGTTGAAAATTAATACATGAATTTGATTATTTATTTTATTATTTATTTTATAATTACTATAAAATTAGCGCATAATGTAGTTTTGATTGTACTTTTAGTGCAAAAGATCGTTCATAAAACTTTAAAAGTATCACGTGTAGGATCTAAAGTAAAATATACTAATATATCCATTTAAGAATATATCTATTTAATTTACTAATCATATTCAATGTATTCATTTAAGAGTATCATTAAAGATAATAATAGGATTTAAAAGAACAATTCTAGGTTCTACTTATTTCCTTTTTCAATTATTAAACGAACAATGAAGCACGGAATGTTTAATAACATGGAAAGCTTATGTCTCCTTCAAATAAACTTCTTTTTTCATCGCATTTTCTTTCCAATCAGTAAAAATGAGCAGAAGCCACGAATAAACCCTGCATCTTAATATCTGGTAAATAATCTTAATCCTAGGTTCTCATTGAAGAAAAAACTACTAAAAAATAAATAACACGTTTTTCAATTTTGCTAATTATGTTTTAATGTACTGGGTGGCGTACAAAATGTCATATTATTCGATTTATACATGACACATTTATTTTTAATAAAATTGATACTAGTTATAGAATTGATTGCCAAAGCCTGAAAGATAAACAAATAAATAGTCTGACATTTCGTGCGTCATCCTACAATTATCTTACAAAAAGAAAAAAAATTATACATTAAGAATTAATGGTTGCTTGAATTAAGTTTTTAAAATAATTTAAAATCTTTAGTATCTTTCAGTGTAGTGAATATTTTAGTAAATTAATATAAAAGAATGTGACAGAGAATTAAAGTAATTAACAAGAAATTCTAAAGAAATTTTGCAAAATTTATACCCGTTTTATGTCCAAAGAGCAAAACTTGTAGCATCTTAAGTGGAGTCGCGTGTCAAACAAGTTTTAAGGTTAAATGATTTCGTTTGAAGCTCAGCAACGATATTGCCGGAAGCAATAGGGTTTACCGAAAATGGCAGTTTCTCTGAAACTGCGGCAAACGAAACCGTCCGTGCGGTTGTGGTTTCTCCGATTCTCATAGCTATTCCCGGTTACGACTCGATAATGGACAAGTTGAACCGTTCTAATATGAATCATAAACCAACACAACGAATAACGGGTTTGCGGAAACAATAATCATGTTGGAATAGAATACGATTGAGTACTACAGAATGTTGCCCTCCTATGATCCTAATAACGCAATGAATCATACATCGTCAGGATAAAGATTTCTGCTGCCCCTAGGAAATGGAAATAACAGTAGAGGAAAGTTGCCGATACTGACATAGGTCTCCTAAAGTGACATCCCCTTATTTCTCAGAAACTAACTATTGCACTTTATTAATACTAATAAAATCATGATCTGTTTAGCTAATTAAAGAAGTACAAACTCATAATTCATATATTTGTGGCTTATTTCTATACTAAATCAGCTAAAAACCAATTCTATGAATCCGAGAAAAAAATTCTTACGGTGTTCTTTTGCAAATTGCGTAATTAAAATAATAGTGACTGTATTATTGATAATATTATGTCATTTTAAATGTTTATATAGTTTCATAAATTAGTTTTCTTTACAGAATAGGATATATCTTTATTTATAGATTAGGAATGTTAGTATTATTGCTTACTATGTCAGTTTTGGAGCCCATTTTGTCAGACGCTCATTTTTGCATAACTTACGAAAAACTTAATTATTGCAAAATTGCAAACAGTATTATAAAAATTGTTTATACTATCTGATAGAAGACACTTTTTACTTTGTATTTATGTTTTTGAAGATGTATTTTTACCTTTTGTTTAAGAAATATTGTCTAAAAACGAAGTGATATGTCGGTATAGGTGACCTTCCTCTAAATCCATAACCTCGCAGGTTGAAATTCGTTTTATGGATAAGTTTACTGCTATTTCTATTTCCGTTAGCGTACGTAGATCTAAAGCAGTATCCTGATTGGCTCATTGATTTAAGTTCAAGTCTTAAGGTTATTGTTACAGAAATATTGTCTGCAGCAGCCCTAATGCCTGTTTTATAATAGCGTCGCAAGCCGTTAGTCGTAAGAAATTGGCCAATTACAGTTAAGTATGAGAAGAATAATTGACTATGATTGGTTAATTTCTTACGGTTTATCGCTTACGACTTTATTGTAAAACAGACATAAAACATTGTGCGTTAACACCTACACTGAGAAAAAAATATAGTCAATTTTAATAAATATTCAGTTCAATACTGCTAACTAAACATTTACTTACCATAAATAAATATTTGTTCAGTAAAAAGAATGATTGCTAAATCAAATTAACGTTTCGTGTATCAAATAAATATGTCTTTATATTTAATAAATATTTAGTTGGCAGTATTCAACTAAATATTTATTAAAATTGACTATATTTTTTCTCAGTGTACGACTACGACTCACGTTTCATGACTCAGTTACGACCATCTTTGTACTGAAGTCCATATATTGTTAACATTTTGTGTTTATCTCATATATACGTTTTTTTTTACCCAATGCGCTTGTTGGAATGAATAGGAACTATAATATATTGGAGTATATTGGAACATGCGACGCGAACAAACTTCTAGTAATCGATGGAAAATTTTCTTGATCATTCGCGTGGCAAAAAGTGTCGACACAAGTTGACACAAGTGTCGTTCTATCTTTCTTCTATCTTTGTTCTGTAGGCTGGGCCCTTCTGTGGTACTAGTCGTCTCTATATGCCAGGCCTTTCCATGGGCCAAGTCCTTCCGTGGGTCAAGCTCTTCTGTGACCAGACCAATCTGTGATATAGGGCCTTTCTGAAGTACAGGGCCTTCTGTAGGTCAGGCTCTTCCGCGGGCCAAACCCTTCTGTGGAACAGGACCCTTCTGTGGGGTTAGCTATTCTTTCACTGGTTTTATTTATAGTGCGTGCGTGCGTGCGTGCGTGCGTGCGTGTATGTGTATCAATGAGACAGTACCGAATCTACTGACTTTTTTATCATTATTAATGCGGTAGGAATCTGGGAGAACTGAGGTGTTGTAATGTATAGTAGTATACAGGGTCCTTTTGTGGGCTAAATTTTTCTGTAGTATAGGACTCTTCTGTAGTTCAAATCCTTCTGTGGTAAATGGCCCTTCTGTGGGATGGTGATTTTTTTGGAAGTTCTTTTCAAAAAATCTTGGCCCTCCTAAAACGGAACTTGCCGCTCCTACCAGGGTTGTACGCGTTACCGTTACCGTTACTTTTTGAAAAAAGTAATTCGTTACCATTACTCGTTACCAATTTTAAAAAGTAACGCGTTACCATTACCGTTACTTGAAAACGATTCGTTACTTTTTCATTACTTCTTGTTATAATGCTAAAGTAGGTTATTAGATTTTAAAATTATATTAGCTGATAATTAATTTAATACTAAATGTGAAATAAATATTCAAACTTGAAGCTCTTTACTAACTAGTTTGTATATAGAGCAAGCCTTTCTCTATATTAAACTTACCTATAGTTTTACTAATTTTAACAGATAATTTAAACAGATAATAGATTATACATGGTTTTTAAACGTTAATGTTCCCTAGTAGAAATAAATCGGTGAAATCTTTATCAATAGACCCATTTCAATATAATTCATAATGAAATGAGTCAATTGATAGAGATTTCAGCGATTTTCAGTAATTTCAACGATTTATTTCCACCAGGATTACTATTATATGTATTTCAATATTTATTGTCCGTACCAAAAATTTACAGTATATATATGTAATGTGAATTATATATTTTCAACATTGGCAGTGCCTATTAGAACACAGTATAAGATATTAAGTACAAGATACGTTTTAAGAAATTAAGAATAAATTATAAAATAAGAAAATATTAGGGAATTGAAGTAACGGTAAAAGTAATCGCTAAATTCGTTACCGTTACTGTAAAAATGTAACGACGTTACCGTTATCATTACAGACTGAAAAAAGTAACGAAAACGGTAACGGCGTTACAAGTAACGCGTTACTTCCCAACCCTGGCTCCTACACATAGCCTAGGTTAGTCTCCAGTGCTAATATGGCATTGTACGTCGTACGAACAAAATTATTTTTAAGAATATTTTTCAATTTCGCACGAGCGATTAGTGTTCATCAGTACTGTTTCTCCGATTCTTCGTATAATCTTGAGAATGCTTGAAGATTCTGAAAACTCTTATCTCTCCGTTTATCTAACACTTTACCGGAGAAGCACAAGAAAACAGCACGAGTGCACTTTGCGTTGAACTAACCCATCCGGAATTTAACCAGTACACGAAGAAGCAGAAATTCTCGTACAGTTACTATTCCAGCTAATTCATGGAAAATTCAAAC